TTTTTTTTTTTTTTTTTCCTTTCCCGGGACCTCTCCTTGTACTCATCCTTCAACAAGTGACTCAGAACGCATTTTACAGTCACGCTGCGACTCGCAAATTGGATATCATTTTCCTCCCCTTTTGCTTGTCCTTTTGATCTTCTAAACCGTCTTGCGCTCTTTCTGGAGCTATAAAGCTCCAATTGTTTCGTCATTGAAGCTACGGTCGATACCTAGGTAGTCTGTAAGGCCCATCCGGCGACTCTACCCCTCCGACGAAAACCACAGCTACGACATTATTCTTTGGTATTTTCCACCACCAACGAACCGTTGTATAATACCTCATCCTCTGCCGCGCACGTCATTGCTGTCAAGCTTCTTTGCGACACCGCTTTAATGGAGCCCAGTCCCATCTCTGTCGAGGCCACCCATGTGCCCGAGCTTCCCCTCAAGAGCAAGACTGCTCTAACAGAAGCACTTGAAGATGTGCTCTGCGGATCGGTATGTATCGTTCCACAAACAAGTCTCAACTATACTGACAGGATTAGGTGGCCGGCGCCGTTGGCAAATACATCGAATACCCTTTCGACACAGTCAAAGTCCGACTACAGAGCCAACCCGATCACCTCCCGTTACGATATGCTGGTCCCTTGGACTGCTTCCGACAATCGATCCAGAGCGATGGAGTGCTGGGACTTTACCGGGGTATCACTGCTCCTCTAGTGGGTGCTGCCGCTGAAACAAGCAGCCTGTTCCTCTTTGAGAGTCTTGGTCGCGAATTGCTGTTCGCAAGCAACCTGGCCTCTCGAGAACAAGGACTTTCACTACCATACCTCTGGTTGACTGGTGCCTTCTCTGGAGCTTTTACATCCTTTGTCCTTACACCGATCGAGCTTGTCAAGTGTAGGATCCAAGCTCCCATGTTGGCCGACGGTTCGGCTGGTGTTCCTCTCCGTCCCATTCCTGTTATCAAGCAAGTCTTTCGACATGAAGGTCTTCGTGGGTTTTGGCACGGTCAGCTGGGTACGCTGATCCGAGAAGCTGGTGGTGGCTCTGCTTGGTTTGGTGCCAAGGAGACGGTGACGAGCATGTTCTATCAGCTCAAGACGAAGACGGCTACCTCTGCGGTGGAGAAGCAGAAGATTCTTGACACTCCGCTACCTTTCTGGCAGCAAGCCATTGCTGGTGCGTCAGCGGGTGTGTCATACAACTTTCTGTTCTTTCCTGCCGACACAATTAAGTCGCGAATGCAGACGGCTGCTGTCAGCGACCTTCACCAACGGCGAACATTCTGGCAAGAAGGTTCTATACTCTGGAAGCAGCATGGCATCCGTGGCATGTACCGTGGCTGTGGTGTCACATGCCTTCGATCAGCGCCGAGCTCTGCTTTCATCTTCATGATTTATGACGGGTTGAAGCGAAACTTCCCTCTCCAATAACACGGGAGTGTTCGGTGGATGTTTCTTGCTTGTAGCGGATGGGGTTCCATATTGGTTTGGAAAAGCGGTTTTGTTCTTACGCATTGTAACGACTGGCTAGAGCATATATGGCGTTCATCTTTGAATTTTTAAAATATATCAGGCTGGCGGGTTGGAGCATGAGTTGAAGGTATTATTTCTCACTTGATGATTAAGAGATAGATAGTTACATAAAGCTTTTAGTATAAAGAGTATTAGAGCACGTTAGACTCAAATCGCCTCAATGCATATGCATTTGAATATTGTGATGAAAGACTGAGTTTCACAACAATCTCCTACCAGTTCGCTTTACTGCTTCTTGTTCTTGTTGTTGACCTCACCACTTGCAAGGTCCCAGTTGTTCAAGTGTCCAATGGTAGTGCACAGGTAGGTAGCAAAGGTGAGCCAGCCGAGGTAAGGAACCTGCAGCCAAGCAGAGACGGGGTCGATAGAGCTGTAGAGGTAGGTGAGGTAGCCGTTGACTCCGAGCAGTGTCAGAATGTCAACTGAAGCCTCAATGGGGCGGTAGAGGCCGAAGAAGAGAGGGGTCCAGATAAGGTTGAGGCCAAGTTGAACAGAGTAAAGAGTCATTGCCTGTCGGGTGTTGACGATAGTCTCGGGAGATGAGAAAGGAGAAAGACCAATGTTAGCAACTCGGTAGGCGGCATATCCCATGACACTAATTATGGTTAGTTGTGTTGTCCTTTTATACGTCGATGTCGAGACGTTGTCTTACCCGTAAAGAACGGTCCAAACGGGTCCAAACAACCATGGTGGAGGTTGAACCTTGGGCTTCTTCAACGCAAGGTATGTCTTTTGGGTTTCTATAGCAAAGAATTGTATTAGTGAACCTGCTAATTACATCTCTGCGATAATGCTAGCTCACGAGTAGCGCTGAAGCCAACAGCTGTGCCGAGGCCGATAGGTAGCAAAACCGACAAAGCCGGCTTAAGAAAGACCGAGTCTGGTAAGGTGAGGGCTGGAATATAGGTCGTCATGGTGAGCACTTTGGTTTGAGGAACAGAATCAGTGTCTAACTAGTAGCAGAGCAAAACGGAAAGGAAAAGTCAGGACATGAAGTGGTAATATCTACTGATTGAAGACAATGACGTAATACATTTTGCATAATGCGCAAACTCTCTCCCGACTGGGCCGAGGCTCCGGATGTCAAATCTGTCCATTAAAGGGATAAAGTGGGCTGATATCTTCCAAAACGGAAGCCAACATATCGGTCATTCAATTGAGACATCACGATCTCACCGAGCGATACCTGTCAAATGGAAACTAGGTAGCTAACTAAAAATGTCAATGCTTCTCGGTAACGAGCTGTCTACTCAATTGAGTCAACGTTCTGGGTGCGTCTCTGAGCAACCGCTGTCTCAGGCGTTTCTTGGACCGTAAATTAATATCCATTTATCGCGCTAATTGACCATGCCACGACCAGTCGTGATGTGCAGGGGTTCGTCCAATTTACGCGTTAGGCTGTGGCTGCTCTAACCGCGATTAGAGCGCACAGACCATCTATTTAATTGATCATGGTCCGCGAGGCGCGTTTCTACGCGACCTCAACACGTCCAAACGCCCATTTCCTAGGAAATGGCAAGGGCGATGGGGCTCTTCCATTCTTTAATTCCCACAGCACATAACCTGCAGTTGCCATCGACAACAATTTGTTTTGCAACTTCCTTACTTCTCTAACCCTATACCACTTTTTGTTGGCAAGAGTTATCGACCTGCATCTGTACATTATTGTATATAAGTCAAAGTCGGAAGGCACTATCTATCTATAGCCATGGCTCGCACAGCATCGCTAGGAAAGAGAGCCCGGGGTATCGACGAGACTGGTGAGTCCTTGATGGAAGGAACATGACCAACGCAGCTGCTAACTTGAAGCTTCCAGATATCCCCTGCCCAGTCACTACTCCTAAGCGAAGTCGACGTCTTGCAAAGGCTGCCTTTTATAACGACGAAAACCAAGATCCTGCACACTCCCCTTTCGACGACGAAGAAGACGATGTGTTGGCCGAGCTACCTCCTCGAACTCGAAAGTCCCCGTCACAAACAACTACAAAGCAGAACCCCGTCACACCTTCCACACCACGACACCGAGATGCTCTATCGGTTCCTCCTACCACGCCTAGACATGCTGTCATGTCGGCAGGCAAGCTCTTCAAACGATTGACACCACACACACCACTTTCACCAAGTACCATCCAAACCGTCTACCACCAAGCACGACAATTGTTTGCTCGTGGAGCAGAGCCTGGTCAACTTGTCGGTCGAGAGGAGGAACGAAACCAACTCACACAATTTCTCAACCGATACGCCTCTTCCACCCCTAATGGCTGCCTTTACGTTAGCGGACCCCCAGGCACAGGCAAGAGTGCTATGATCACCGAGATTACTCGACAATATGCCAACCACAAGGACCTCCAATCTGCCTATGTCAACTGTATGAGCGTCAAGTCTTCCAAGGATCTCTACACTACACTGCTTGGCGCTCTTGGTCAAGGCTTCGATGCATCTGAGGCAGATGCTATCACCACTCTGCAAGGAATGTTTGTGCCAAAGACGAAATCAGGCACCGTTTACCTGGTTACATTGGACGAGATCGACCATATCCTGACCATGGGCTTGGAGAGTTTGTATCGAGTGTTCGAATGGTCACTACAAAAGAACTCCCGTCTCATCCTTGTCGGTATCGCCAACGCTCTGGACCTGACTGATCGATTCCTTCCTCGACTGAAGGCCAAAAACCTCAAGCCTGACCTTATGGCATTCCTCCCTTACACGGCAACTCAAGTCAAGAACATCATCACCACACGGCTCCAATCACTGATGCCTGCTGGGGGCAAGGAAGGATGGGTGCCGTTCATCCACCCTGCCGCCATCGACCTTTGCTCCCGCAAGGTTTCAAAGCAGACTGGAGATCTTCGCAAGGCCTTTGAGATCTGTCGGCGCGCACTGGACCTGATAGAGGTTGAGACTCGATCAAAGCATGAGGAGGAGGCGAGGGAGGAACTATTGCAAATGTCACCTTCCAAGCGACCTCTTGGGGAGAACATCAACGGGGCGTCAGGTGGCCCAAGAAGCGTGGTGCAGGTTATGGCCAACTCTCTCAAGGCTCTCACAGCAGAAACGGCACCCCGCGCATCAATCAGCCATCTCAACAAGATCACGGCAGCAGCTTTCAGCAATGGAACTACACAGCGACTCAAGGCACTCAACCTCCAACAGAAAGCTGCTCTTTGTGCCTTGGTGGCTTACGAGAAGCGAATCCGATCTGCAGCCAAGATGGCCAATGGCGGCGCTACACCCTCAAAGTCGAAACTGCTGGCACCTACTATCAAGACTTTGTTCGACGCATACTGTCAGCTATGCACACGTGATTCTGTTCTGCACCCACTTTCAAGTTCTGAATTCCGCGAGGTTGCAGGCAGCCTCGAGACTTTGGGATTGGTCACCGCATCAGACGGAAAGACTGGAAGTTTTGCTGCACCACAGACACCCAGTAAGAGGGGACGCAAGACTATGGCTGCGACTGGAGATGAGCGAAGACTCACAAGCTGTGTCGCAGAGAAGGAGATGGAGTCTGTAGCCGACGGTATCGGCGCAGCTATTTTGAAGAGCATTCTGAGCGGAGAAGCATTGGATTAGACCACAAAAAGCATTCAAAGGAAAGCATGTAACAGCATTGTATGGCGTTTTGGGTTTGTTTTATCATGGTTGGGCTCTGTTTATCATTATCTCATCGCATTTGCATTGCATTGCGCTGGTTGGTCACAAAGGTCTGGGTAGTAATCCAGAATTACTGGGATGGATAACGATACCATGTATGTAATTGTGTTCAGGGTTGATCGAAAGGCAGCGTAGCATGCGCCTTAAGGATAGATAATGCGAGTACGGGTATTAGACATGACCATTATGGTGTCGTTAATAGAATAGAAGAACATAAATACAATCGATCGCACTGCCTTCTATGTGAAGATTCGCAAGACACATTTCTAGTTTCATGTTACCTAATTTAAGGATGCCATGTTGTTATCTAGAGATTATGGAGATGATGATAACATCCTTGTCTACTACATGTAGTACTGGCATAGGGGTCTGAAGGTTTTGCAAGCATCATTCTCCCCATAGTTTGTACTACACAGGATTCTTCGCCCCGGCCCACGGCCCACGGTAAAGTTGCACCGAGAGAGGGACGTGTTGGTACCTCTAGGTCGCGTCATGGCCAGCGCTGGCGGCTTTTTCCGGACCCAACCACACCGCACACCAAATCTGTAGGATGACGGGGAAGATTTTGATGCAACTGTTGTCCTTTGCATTCACTCTACAGTAGAGGCTGTGGAGACGCGACTTTGCAAAAGTGCTCCTTCAGCTGGTAATAGGTACGGCGCAGTAGATTCCAGCTGTGACACAAAATAAAGCCTCAAGGTACGGGAAAAGTACTCAGCTGGCCGTTTCCGCTAGCCTCTTATTAGGGTTGTTTGTCTTTCTAAGTTAAACCCATGGACCCAGGTCTTCGGCTGGACATGCGAGCCAAGCTCGTCGAGGCCTTGACCAAGCTTTTCTTGGCGGAGCGATGGCCTGCAATTGCTTGGCATCTGCACGCTGACTTTACAGGTAGGGTAGATTCGAGATTGGAGCCCTCCCTGATGGGAGAAATAGTCTAGGTTTTGGGATAAATTCAATTGTATCAGGAATCAAAGTTTGAGAGAATGTCTGATTTAGGTAGGATGCAAGTGGAGAAATAATGCATCTCAATGACTCTTGCCTATTTCCTGACGTATTTCCCCTCCAATTACTTCGAGCAATCGTTGCGAGGCCGTTCGATGGAAGGCGCTATGGGGGTGATGTCTACTCTGCAGGCGCTAGGAAGGTACTGATCCAATTGGTTGGCTCCTTCCCCCCCTCCCGTCCGTCCCGCGATGGTAAACCTTCAATCGTGGCTTACATACAGTTGCTAGTGCTAGTTAATCTAGGTATCGTCCGTCCCATCGCTCCTGCTTGCTACTGCTACCTCCGCCTCCGCAACCCAACATTCGTCACTCGCTTGATCGCCCAATCCAACTTTTTCACCTCATCTTGCCCAGACAGTAGCGCATTAAATCATTATTCTTATTTCTTGCGATCCTTCATTTCATTGCAATCCTTGCTACGTTTCTTGGATGTCGATCTCTCTCTCACTCGTACCCCTCCTGCAGGCTTAGAACACGCAGCCCCAATCCCAATCACAGCCCCAGCCCGACCCGACCTCCGACGCGCCGGATTTAACGTCTCTTCCTTCCACCACAAACTTAACCTTCCCGCACCCGCATGCATACAATTCAACGGCCTTCCGGCACGATTAGCTATCAGAGCCACGAGGCTGTGAGCTCTCGTTCCAAGGCCCGCGACGTCGGTTTTATAAGCTCGGCGTCGCTATCGACCTTGGATCCTGGTCCTGATGCCTTTGGCAACACGTCTGGGAATGGGTCGCCGTTCGAGATCTTCTCCGACGCTCTCTAACGCTACAGAAGCTCCTGGTCCTGCGAACTCGACGGCTCCCAATACCCCCAATAACGTCGCGACATCGTCACCGGTCAACTCCGCTGCTTCCTCTACAGCCCGCACCCCGAGGGCAACGTCACCGACGGCATCTGCCACCTCCTCTACGCGCCCGGGGTTCCTTTCGCGCTTCAGCCTTCCCCTCTCTCTACCTTTGCGCAATCGAAATCGCAACGTCACCGACTTTCACATCCGTGCCGAAGAACCCCATCGTCGATATAGCGCTGGCGACAATGTTCGTGGGGCTGTCGTCATTGTCATCGTAAAACCGATTCGAATTACTCATCTAACTGTATCGCTGCATGGGTATGTGCGCGTCCTCAAAGATCCAACTTCGGTCGCCAAGGCGCAAGGGACTATTGTATTACCGCAAAATGGTGACGCGGCGCGACCACGATATCACGGCAATGGTCTTGCAAGTCTCTTTCAAGACGAGCAGGTATTAAGTGGCGAGGGACGGCTGGAGCCAGGCAGATACGAATTTGGGTTCGATCTCTTATTTCCCGATAAAGGACTGCCAAGCAGTATTGATGTAGGCTGATCGCATAACTACTGGGTTCTGTATAATTACTAATGCAACCTGCAGTTCGAGCGAGGAACGGTTTCATACATGGTTACAGCGACGCTAACGCGGCCAACCTCGATTGCCCCGACGTCATCATGCGAAAGAAAAGTAATGCTGGTGGAAAACGTGGATGTCGGATTACTGCATGCTCCCCGGCCGCGTACTATTTTCTTAGAACCGATCTCGAAACGAAACCGAAGGAGAAAGTCTATGGCACTAGACAAGTCTTCAACTGCCCAATCTGAGGTTAACGAACTCAACGCAGGGCATGAGTTGACAGAGACACCGACAGAAGACTACCGTGAACACACTGCAGATCCCAGGAGTCCAATTCAGAGTGATTTGCGAAGCGAAGTCAGTGGAGATAGCGGTGTTAGCAATAGCACGAGCTTAAGTAGGCTGGAAGCTCCACTATCTCAAGTAGGGACACTCACGTCAGCCAAGCAACAAGCTGTTGATAAAAAGACCATCACGGCGACGGTAGAGCTACTGAAGGGCGGTTGTTTACCTGGGGATGCCGTCTCTGTGCGGGTCACGGTTCAGCATACCAAGAGAGTCAAGAGCATGACAGGAGTAATCGTGACATTGCTCAGACAAGGCAAGATCGACAGCAATCCTCCGAATGGCCTCTTCGACGAATCCATGAGCCGGGACGGTATTGCTCACATCGATAAAGAAGAAGTGTTCCCCCGATCACGGACAGGTCTTGGTGGCCTTTCGTTGACCTCATCGAGTTCGACAAGTATATTCCGTAAGGATCTTGATCAGAATATCGCACCACTGATCATTGATCCCAACACCATGCAAACCTCAGTTACTGTTACTGTCAAGCTTCCGGACGATTCCTTTCCGACAATCAAGGGTGTTCCTGGAGAAATGATCAGCTTTAAGTACTTGGTTGAGGTGGTTGTTGACCTTGGTGGGAGGCTGTCGAATCAAATGCAAACGGGTCCCTCTAGATTCGGGGCCTATGGCCATGCAAGCGGAGATAACAACATGTACGGGCCAAGGAGAGGCGCGAATATCGCAGACACTTCACAGATGCGTCATGAGAAAGGGGTTATCGCAGTATCGATGGAGACTGTCGTAGGGACCTCGGACTCGTCACGGGGTAAGAAGAAATCTAGGGCCTCGCCGACATCACGGAGCGTACAGATTCTTGAAAGCGACGAGGAGGATGTGATAGGACAAGAGCCAAACTATGGCGATGGCGCTCCTCTTGAACATTACCCAAGCAACGGGCCGCTTTCCCCCGGTGGTTACTTCTCTTCAAATCCCAACGGGAACCGACGCCATCCGATTCCTTCGCATCCGCCCCAGCCATATTCACAAGTTCCTCCCTTACAAGGTCCATCGCATTCACGCGAATTCGCCGGGCCAAGCACCAACGGTTTTGGTTCCTCTCCTCCAGCCCCCTCATATATTCCCCCTCCGGAAATACCAAATGAGAACAACCTGTCGGAGAAAGAAAGAATTCGGCAGGCCGAGACACGATTGCTACCAAGTCAACCTCCAGGAGCGGGCCCGTCTACGAGTGAGAACCAGGACGACGAAGATATATACGACGCAGAGGACACACCCCGGGTTCCAGACCTGAACGCTGGGTTTGATACGACTACCCCTAGTGCTCCCAGTGCCCCCAGTGCCCCCAGTGCTCCCAGTGCTCCTGAGGCTGGTCCCTCGGCACCAACCGAGGATGATATCGAGTCAGGAGCGGTATCGTCGCCAGGGGTTGTTGAAGACAAGCAGGAACTTGAACGGCAGCGGCTGCTAAATGAAGCCAGTGCTCCTCCAGAAGTTCCAGAGGATATGCAAAGAAGAAGAATTGGTGGTCCCTCAAGGGAGATGGATGTTGAAGCTAGCGCGCCGAGTGCGCCAAGTGCGCCAAGTGCCCCTTTAGTTGACGATTATGATGAGTTTCCTGGATATGGTTCCGGGGCAGGGCCTTCCAGCGGCCCGAGCCAAGGCGGCGGAGAACAGTTACCAGCATACCAAAGATGAGTTGGCATTTTGCCTTTCTCTTGGAGTATATTGTATAGGCGCATTCAGTATATGGGTCATGATGGGATTCTTGTATAATTTACGGGCACACAGGTTGGTGTCCCGGCGTTTTCGGGCATATGATGCGAGTTATATCACGATAAATATTAATATTGTTGAATACTCATGGTTGAGTCTTTTCATTCTCGACTACATATTTGTGAGCGGACGGCATTTTGTATGGGAGGTATATCTATTTGGGGTCTGCTAGGACACATCTGGTGATAAGATGCCCGGCAATGTGTACTTAATTTCGTCCATGAAGGGATGTATTTTTACAATTGGTCTTTATATCTAATGTTGCAACACCACAGGCTTGCCGCTCTCCCAGTTATCCAGGCTCTCCTTGATATTCACCCAATAACGAAGGCGTACAGCCTCATGCTTCGCAGCATCTATATCGTCGCTCTGGAAAGCACGCTCCAAGACCTGTTCACTCTCAGCGATGCGCGCATCGTTTGCCGCACGAGGTTCATCTAGATCTTCTTCCTTCTCGGCATCTTCAATTTCCTCTCGTGCCTCCAGCACAAGCATCAGGAGCTCAGGCTCTTCAACCTTGAGAGTCTCGTCGTTGGCGACGTCGACGCCCCTCAGGGATAGCAGGTACTGAGCTCGCAGCAGGGGATTGGAAAGCGTCTTATAAGCTTCGTTTATAAGTGCGGACATAGCTTCAGCGCGAGCCTTATCCTGTGAACCATGCATATCCGGATGGGCACGGGCTTGCAGACGAAGAAATTCGCGGCGCAAGGCTCGCGTATCGATGGGGAAGTGGCCCGCTGGAGGCGGCCCATCGGGAAGCGTCTCGGGGAAGAGCTCGTAGTGTGTTGATGGCGGGGTACTAGACGATGTCTTTTGCTGTGACTCTGCCTGCGCAGCACTGGAAGCAGCGCGGGAGTAAGCGAAGGGCGTCGCAGAGCCCCGCGTGGCCGTCAGAAGAGCCACATGACGCTGTACAGGCGTTGTTGTCGCAGAAAGACGTTGTGAAGATGTGAGAGTTGAGGCTCGGCGGGCTCGGAGTTGACACCGGATACAAGTCCGAGAAAGATCGCGCACGACATAAGAAGAGATTGAGGATCGCATATTGTATGAGGGAGTTTATTTCTTCCCAATGCGCAGGTACAAGAGCAAGCTGTTTCGAGGTTGAAGTTCTTATATGGCGAACTGCTATATTATGCAATGGCACAAGTAGAAATTACCATTATCTACGGATGTCGCGCCGAAAGCACTTTCTCAATGTCTTAATAAATCTTTAGCGTAGAATGACCTCAGCGACTGTGGCTATCATGTGGCGCATGCTGTGGCGCACACAGTCATGATCCTATGCCTCGGCCAAGGTCGGCGGTCATGATCGGGGTCTAGTCCGACCCAATGGCAAACAACATAATTGTGTTGCTCATCCATGATGAGCCTTGAAAGATAGGACTCTTTTTTTAATCGATAATTCTACTAGGGTTCTCATGAGAAGATCCAATTGACCTAATATCGCTTGTTTCCCATGCTCTAACCTATTCTATATCCCTCTTGTTCGCTCTTCTTCCCTCTCACAACAAACAAAACGCATAGATCACCCCCAAGGGAACCCCCAATCCTCAAAACCCAATTGGAGCGGGATAAGATAATTAGTGCCTGCCGAGTCTGTAGATCTGCCGAAGTTGGTTTCGATATCTGACCAACGTTTCCATTTCTCTTCTTTTCATATCTCTTTCGCATCATCTCTTGCTTCAATATACCCGTTTGTATCATCTCTCATACAATCAAACACATAGTCCAGTATGGCCAAGGTCTTTGACGCGGCTGAAGGTATGAATAATCCCCAATTGAACCCTTATCATGTCCATGTTTACAGAGGGCGCGCGACTGACATGCGATTGCTCGCGATAGTGGCCAAGCACAACACAGCAGAGAGCTGCTGGGTTATACTGTACGGAAAGGTCTATGACGTGACGGAGTTTCTGCCTTCTCATCCTGGCGGTAAGAAAATCATCTTGAAGCTTGCTGGAAAGGATGCCACCGACGAATATGATCCCGTTCACCCGCCTGGCACCCTCGAGGAGAACCTCAAGCCCGAAGACGTTCTCGGTGAAGTCAACCCTGAGACACTCACCGAATCTCAATCAACTGGCGAAAAGACCGTTACACAAACCAATGCAGATCAGCCTCTGCCATTGGCATCACTCATGAACTTGGACGAGATCGAGCAAGAAGCAACGAAGCGCATCTCAAAGAAGGCCTGGGCATACTATTTCTCTGCTGCCGACGACCTGTTTTCAAAGAGCTATAACAACCATGTTTTCAAGGATATTCTTCTTAGGCCGCGCGTCTTCGTTGACTGCACAGCTTGCGACATTTCAACAACATTAATCGGCAATAAAGTCGGACTACCAATCTTTGTATCTCCGGCCGCAATGGCCCGACTAGCTCACCCTGATGGTGAGCAAGGCATTGCTAAAGCATGCGCTCGGTTCGGCGCCATGCAGATTGTATCTAACAACGCTTCCATGACCCCCGAGCAGATCATTGAAGGCGCGAAACCTGGTCAGACCTTTGGATGGCAATTGTATGTTCAGAACCAACGCGACAAGAGTGAGGCCATGCTCAAGCGCATCAACTCAATGCGCGACTACTATAAGTTCATCTGTTTGACACTGGATGCGCCTGTTCCTGGAAAGCGTGAATTGGACGAGAAGCAGAACTTTGACTACTCTGAGCCTAGTCCTGCCAGTGGCGAGAGCAAGCCTGGTGCTGGAGGTGTTGGTCAGCAGCTCTTCTTCGGTACCGCTGCTGATTTGACATGGAAGACGACCCTCCCTTGGTTAGCAGCTCATACCGATCTGCCCATCGTGCTAAAGGGTCTTCAAACTCATGAGGATGCTTTCTTGGCAGCCAAGTATGCTCCTCAGGTGAAAGCCATCATCCTATCCAACCATGGCGGTCGTGCCGCCGACACAGCCCCTCCGGCCATGCATACCTTGCTCGAGATCCGAAAGTACTGTCCTGAGATTCTAAGCAAGGTCCAAGTATGGATTGATGGAGGAATCAAGCGAGGAACAGATGTTGTGAAGGCGTTGTGTCTGGGCGCTAGCGGTGTCGGTATTGGACGTGCTGCTCTTTTTGGACTTGGTGCTGGTGGCCAAGCTGGTGTTGAGCGAACACTTGAGAGTAAGTTGAACCTAAGACCCCAGTATACTAAAGTCTTGGCCAGGCTGACACATGCAAACCACAGTTCTCGAGGCAGAGACGGCCACATGTATGCGACTGCTCGGAGCCAAGAACATCTCGGAGCTTGGTCCTAGATTCGTAAGTTCTTCCCCAGCTTTTCCCCAGACTCCACCGTCGCATCTAACCGGCTCGGCAGGTCAACGCTCGACAGGTGGAACGAGATATCTACGACGGAGATGCTGGGCTGGATCGTCAAGGCTTGTGGACAAAGTCTAAGCTTTAGATAGGAGACGATCAGCTGGCGACGACATCTTCATATGTCAAATACATCCTCGGCAAACATCCCCGCCTTATGAACAAGGGGCCCCTGCTTCCTTTCCCTAATTGATTTTTCCTCCTCGAAACGGCACAGCGGTTGGTCCCAGGATACCATTATACGAGCTGCAATGTCGTTGCTTTTGCCTGGTATTATTATAGGGCCACAAAAGAGAAACAAAGACAATTTGAATATCTTAGATTGAGTCGCAGATGACAAACCTGCGGCACGACCTGACACCAAACAATATGTGTTCCCACAATTGATCAGTGCGTAGGGTTGAGCAGGCGTGCTGCAGGGTGTCAGAAGAATTGGCCGTTGAAAACATAAGAGACGAAATAACTTGGTCACCTTATGCCAACTTAGACTATTATTTTGGCTACTTTATTTCTGTAGCCTAAGTCTCAGAGGACATTTCTTCTGTTACCCACTTAGGCGTACTCAGAAGGCATCGTTGCGGCGTAGTCTGTAAAAGAATTCAGGATATTGACCGAGTGTGTAACATCGAGAATAGAATCAAACTTTATTCAGCCGACGCCACTGGCTTGCCTTTCTTCACATGCAGATCTGAAGAGAAAAGGCGCTTTACATTGAGGAGTAAATGCCAATTCATCTCGAAGTTGATCAACAAGATGGATGGATCGTGCCCTGTCAACCAACCAGCCATCGGAGGTGGACTATGCAGGGACAGGGGCTAGCCCAATCAAACGACTACCCCCGGTCAAATCCAGGCCAGACTTCAAGAAACCTGGTATTTGACCATACCGTCAGTGGATGTCCCGGCCGAGATGGTGTGTCGCATCCGGTCCTTCCAGAGGCCACATGAACATGAAAGAGAAAGAGCTGAACCCAAACCCCTCTGCTGTTGGAGCAACAGTCTGGCAGTCCACTGGCTTGCTGGATCTCAACTACCTACTACGTAGTAGTGCCGGCAGCCACTCTCAGGTCCAAGTGACACTTTCGAATGTGGCGCGTCACGTCCGTCTTTGTCAGGGAAATAAGAACGGTTGGCTGTCAAGCAAGCCACTTGCGCAACTCTAAATCGCTGTTCGTAATTGCTGTAGAAAGAGGTGTGCTGATACCACAACCAGACGTCGATTTCGATTCAATCTCGGCCCTCAGGAAATGGTTTCTGTTGGTCAAACAGTCCATCCCTAGCCTTAACTAGCCAGACCCAGTCTAACATCATGTTCTCCATCAACGGACGGTTGATCGTCCTGGTAGTGCGTCCTTGGCGGAGCCATGTGCTGTGGTTGGACAGTGACAGTTTTAATTAGCAGACTTTTTATCTGTCGCGTGCAACTGTTCTTGGCAGCCCTGGCTATTCTTGCCCGCCGTCTCAGGTGCACTATACAGTAGTACCGCTGTGTGTAATAGTTTCGGGCAATTGGTTGACAGACTCGACACAGACCATCGATCAAGATTTCAAGATTCCAAGATTTTCAAGTCACGGAAGTTTCGGGAATACGCGAAGGGGATTACCGCCACATATTCTGTGGAAGCAAGTGCCGTGAACCTGTCGTCTGTGTGTTAATGTTTCCCGTCTTCGTGCGAATAGCATCATGTAGAATCAGCCCAATGCGACTCCCTGCCTCAATTCTAGCATCACGCGGAATCGCTCGAGGCTACCTCAGAGATAAGCTTTGTCGAATCGAAACAGAAGCAAGGTTCAATGAGAGATCTTGTTTGAAAGATCGTGTTCCAGCCAGACTATCAACTTCATAGATGGGTGTGCCGGTCATCGTCCGTTACACATCGGAAATCCTGCGACGTCGAACACAGAGGCGATGCAACTCGTTGGTCCTGAAAGATTCACAAGCTGCCGAGGAACAACTAAATACAGGAATTGTTAGGGATTAGAAACCTCATTGCTGATCGAAGAAACACTCACCTCTTGCACCCCCGAACCCGTGCGGGGGCAAACCTGGGGAATAGCGCCATGTCCGCTCATCGGCGACTTGCCTTTTTTGGCAACCAATGCCCGTAGACAGATGCAAAGGGACTCGGGCCAGGGCGATCTAGTCCTGTCAAGGTTGGAAGGCTGCAATGGTGCCGTACAGTAAGTGGATGGCACAGATGCAGATTATTATGGGTGTCCTTAAGTTCCTTCTTGTTTCGCCGCAAGGTTCGCAGAATGCCTGGTCGACCGATTCTACACCCCGGTGCAACTACTTATATTGCCGGTTGCTCTCGTTCCATTCTTTTCCCCCTTGTGCTTGTTGAAGGTTGAATTGTTCTTCACTTCCAAATCTGTGTTCCTGACTTCTCTTCTGAGGAACTCATTTTATATTCCCCTTTTCCTTCATCTTTCTGTTTGTTCAGGGGCAAGCCCTTGACTATTGGTAATTCATCATGTCGGAGAAGAACGAAGTGACCCAGACGGAGAATGGGGTCCAACCCAAGAACCGTACTTGCGCTCGACACTGCAAGCGCTTCTGGTGGGTTTATCTCATCATTCTCTGTGTCATTACTGTGATTGTGGTTCCAGTAATGTAAGTACAAGTGTCCGTGCTCTCGGGATCGTCAATGAGCTGACCCTGTGCTTTAGAATTCTTGTTGCTGTCCCCAAGATTGCACAAAGTAAGATCAACGAAGCCGAGCTTGAGATTCAAAGCGTCCAGATTCTTGAAACCGAGCCAAATGCCTATCTCATGAAGATCGATTCTTCCATCACCACTGATGGCAAGATCCATGCATCAGTTGATCCATTTGAGGCCGACATGTATCTCGAGGACTGGCCAGCACATGTACCATTTGCGACAGTGAACATGCCCGAGACCAACAGCAACAAGCATCAGGTCGTGAACGTCACCCAGAATGTTAAGATTGCCGACATGGAGGAGTTCACTCGATTCAACGTCTGGTTCCACAACAACGAAACACTGCGCGTTACCGTCAACGGAAAGACAAAGGTCAAGCCCAGTGGTCTGCCACGCAAGTACGATGTCACCTTCAAGAAGACAATTGAACTCAAGGGTCTCAACCACTTCGCTGGCACCAAGGTTACCGATGGCCACATTGGCTTGAGCAGTGACAAGAGCATCCCCAACTTCAACGGCACAACTGTCATTCCAAACGCTTCCGTCTTCACACTAGACAACGTAAGTCGCCGATGTATCTTTGCAAGCTCAAAACTGACATCTTCAGGGCAACGTTACCTTCACGAATTTCGTCGGAGACACGGAAGTTGGTACCCTCACGATTCCAAACCTGGTCCTTAAGCCAGGCGACAACGTTGTCAACATCACCGCCAAGATGGATCAGAAATTCATCCTTGACACCGTCGGCCAGGAGCCTTACTGCAAGACAGGAATTATTCCTTTCAAGCTGTTGGGCAAATCAGTCGTGAACCATGGCGAGAACCTCACTTATTTCGCCGCGGCGCTGGGAAGCTCCAATCAGACTGTCGAGATTGACATTGGCGCTATCTTGAAGAAGGATATTGGCTATGAAGTCAAGTGCAAAAGCGATTGATCGTAAAGCACTTTCGATGTTTGGGTCGCGTGCTGAGCATGTCGAGGCAGGAAATGAGGATGATAGCCGTCCGGTCGATTAATATGAAGCTAGGTAGTGGTTTGACCGAGACGTAGCCGATCACAATGATACCTTCATGCAGGTCTCCATTTATACCCGAGACTCTGATAACAAGTTCTGATCTCCTTCATTTCATTAAGTGACATGTTAGCTCGAGGTTGTTCCAGTATGTCGTAGGTGTCAAAGTGTCGATATATGTTGAACAGAATCGTTCTTAGTTCCATCCGCTTTTCCTCTTTTCGCCTTTTGAGAGCCCACCCTTCATCGTTGTGTCGTGGCCCACTGTACTTGTCGAAGCAACAAAGTCGACGGCTGTCCTATTACCGCTTGTTCTCTCGGCCTCCTTCTCCTTGGCCAACTTGTCGTTACTCTTCCGTAACTTGTCTTTGAAAGCCCATTCAGGGAAGTCTGCAGGGTTCCAAAGGTCGGTGGGTAATGTGGTGGAATACTGATGGCGTTCATCGATCTCGACAAATCTCATTAACTTATCCATTAAACTTGGGTTTTTCAGTGCTGAAGACTGTTCTAGTTTGGCGTTAAAGTGAGTTCCCTTCTTTTTCAACTCAAGAAATTGCTCAAATTTCTTGTTGGCTCCAGGTGGTGGTGAGCCTGGTGGTGATGGGGGGATATCCATATTGGGGGCTGATGGCAATGTGAGATCTCGAAGAAGAGCACGATTGGCCGAGTATGGTGAAGCTGGTCTGAAAGTTGGATCTTGGTCATCCACGACAGCTTCTTCCATGGGCGGTAGAGACGGTCCTAGCGGTACAGCATTTTGTTGAACAGGACCAATGGCGACCGCGTCAGAGCTTTTGGGTTCGGGTACTGTTATTGATGGTAAGATGAGATTCTCTGTTCAAATAAAGACAGGTGATGTATGCTCACCTGGTGCGGTGGGCTTCTGTTCTGCCTCCTTGCTTTGCGGTTTGGCATCATCATCTACTGTGGTTGAGACAGGCTCCTAGTAAGAATTAGATAAGATGCTGAACTGAAAAGCAGAAGGGTACCTTATTACATTTTTTTGCGGCTCAGGAGAATTGACCTCCTGGATATCATCCTCTTCGTCGCTGCTTGCGTATCCTACTAGACCGGCCATATTTGGTGTCTTGTAATGTGAGTTGACGGAGATGAGATTGAGCACGGGTATACAATTCGTTGCAGGGGACTCGAGTTGTCCGTCAATAAATCGAACCCGAGGCAGCTGCGACCTGGAATCCTTTTTAGTTTAGCGCGGCTCTTGTTCCTTCTTGTCTTCAATTAAATGTGGGTACCTCAACTGCTTCTTGGTGGGTAAAACTCGGAAGCCTAGAAACCATCAACTCAGCTCTATGCTTTCCATCTAAGCTTAAAAGTTTCAAGCACCTACAAATCGCCCACCCCTCCTTCATACAGCTTCTTTCATTTGGTATTCATCTCGAGGTGGATCACGACTCTCGGTTCCTCTAATACATCGCCAAATACAGGCATACAGATATCATACATATTTGCGCCAACGACGACAAGCGACCACGCGCCATCGCGCATTGTTATAAAGGCTTCGGTCTCCCCTTCAAGAGTAGTCTCACCAACGAAGTGTCCTGCTGAGCCTGCGAGACCATCAACAATGGCTCGGCCGAGAGACTCGCGCTCACCAAGTCCTGCAGGCAGCACCCACAGTTCCCGTCGTTACCGTAACGATGATCGCCGGGATAGGGATCGTCGCAATGATGGAAGGGACCATCGCCGGCGTAGTAGATCGCGCAGTCTAGACGTAAGAAGCCAACATCGCAATTCTAATAGGCTTTATTCTGACGAGCTGCTCCATCAACAGCCCCGAAATCGCGACCGAGATAGAGACCGTGATCGTGCACGAGATCGAGACAACTACCGCCGAAGAGACCGTTCGCCAGATCGACGTGATGACAACTATTACCGAGGCGGACGAAGAGACAATCGAGAAAGGGATCGCCGAAGATCGCGAGAGCGCTATGATGATCGCATTCGCTCACCTGACCGCCGGCGCAACCGCAGTCGAGAGAATGATCGGGATGTGAGAAGGCGAGACGACTCCCGCAGCCGTGTCCCTGGACGCCGTGAGGGTACGACTGACTCTCCTGCTCGCAGCAACCGTGAGGATGGCAGAAACCAGAAAACACCACTCGGCGACAGTGGCAGCGCCGGTGCCAGCCAGGTTCGATCCCCGTTTCCTCGTTTCGAAAGCATTGCTGATGGATTACAGGCGCAGACTCCCAAAGCCGATGGCGCGCAAGCCGATGTCGACAAGAAGGCTGAGAGATTGGCTAAGCTTGAGGCATGGAAAAAGAAGAAGGAGAGCGCAAGTCAGAAACAAAAAGAGGTAAACCCCAGTCAGACAAGGAATCTCTTGGCTGAAATGGACAAGAAGGCAAGCGGAGCGTCATCTAAAACAGTTTCCCCATCAGTTTCTGCCGCTGCTTCACCTGCCGCTACGCCTACTGTTGAATCCCCCGCTGCCCCCTACTCTGGCAAGTTTGATCCCAAGGCCATTGCCAAGAAATCGGCTGCCTCGCGGACGCACGACGCTTCGAAACCTGCACTTGGTTCATTAGGCGGACAGCCTGAAAAGCTTTCGGTTCCTGTCAAGCAAACCACTACCGGTATGTCTAGTTCTACTCCTCGCTTACAGGACTCAATTGACCCTTCCTTTCTAGCATCTGCTCTTCCTGCAAACAGAACAAAAGCAAGTGGCTTTGGTTTTATAAAATCCAATGCAGAGACTGAGAAGCTTCCCGCCAAACGTAAGCTTGACTTGGACGAAGAGGATACTACCAAGAGAAAGCTTACCAAACTGCCTGCCTTGCCTATTGAGGCTGATGATACCCCATACGCTGACCAGGATGATGATGAATCTGACGGTGATAACTTTGCCGAGAACGAAGAGGAGGCCGCTGCTGCTGCCCGTGCAGCTCATGAGCGACGATTGCAGGCGGAGAACCAAATGGATACAGGCGAAGAAGAGACTAAACCTGCGGATGTGCAGATGAACGGAGATACAACAACGAATAGCGAGACTGCTCAGCCTGAAGCTCCCACGGAGATGGAAGTTGACGAGGAAGATGATGTCGATCCTTTAGATGCTTTCATGGCCGATCTAAAGCAGACTGAAGTAAAGTCACCTGCAAAGGCATCAAAGACGCAAAAGGTTCAGGAACCCGAGGCCTACTTCAGCGATGACGAATACGATTTCAACAAGAAGGAAGATGGCGATGCGAATGCACTATTGGCCATGACAGCAAAGCGAAAGAAGAAGGATATTCCAACAATTGATTACAGCAAGATCGAGATCGAACCTATTCGCAAGAACTTTTGGGTTGAACCAGCTGAACTGAGTCAGCTTAGCGAGGCTGAAGTGGCCGACCTTCGCCTGGAGCTGGATGGCATCAAGGTCAATGGAAAAGATGTCCCTAAACCGGTTCAGAAGTGGGCACAATGCGGCCTCACACGTCAGACATTGGATGTCATTGACAACTTGGGCTACGAAAAGCCCACTCCCATTCAGATGCAGGCACTCCCGGCCCTGATGTCTGGTCGTGATGTTATTGGCGTAGCCAAAACTGGTTCCGGAAAGACGGTCGCTTTCTTGCTTCCTATGTTCCGACACATCAAGGATCAGCCCCCTCTCAAGGACACAGATGGTCCCATCGGGTTGATCATGACTCCTACTCGAGAGCTTGCCGTCCAGATCCATCGAGACTGTAAACCATTCCTCAAGATGATGGGTCTCCGCTCTGTTTGTGCTTACGGTGGAGCACCTATCCGAGAACAAATTGCTGAGCTCAAGCGTGGTGCAGAGATCATCGTATGCACACCCGGTAGGATGATTGATCTTCTAGCGGCAAACCAAGGAAGAGTCACCAATCTGAAAAGAGTCACGTATGTTGTGCTTGATGAAGCTGATCGAATGTTTGACATGGGTTTCGAACCCCAGGTCATGAAGATCTTCGCAAACATGCGACCTGATAGGCAGACAATTCTTTTCTCGGCTACTATGCCTCGAATCATCGACTCGCTAACCAAGAAGGTGCTGAAAAATCCCGTCGAGGTCACAGTCGGTGGACGCAGTGTTGTGGCGAAAGAAATCGAGCAAATTGTTGAAGTTCGAGATGAACCATCAAAGTTCCTCCGCGTTCTCGAACTTCTTGGAGAGCTCTATGACCGCGATGAAGACGCTCGTACCTTGATCTTTGTTGAACGCCAAGAGAAGGCCGACGACCTACTCAAAGAGCTGATGATCAAGGGTTATCCTTGCATGTCAATTCATGGAGGCAAAGACCAGATTGATCGTGATTCCACTATTTCAGACTTCAAGAAGGGCGTTGTGCCTATCTTGATCGCCACATCAGTCGCAGCTCGTGGTCTCGATGTTAAGCAGCTCAAGCTTGTCGTCAACTACGATGCTCCTAATCATTTGGAAGATTACGTACACCGTGCAGGCCGAACTGGTCGTGCTGGTAACACTGGTGTTGCTGTCACTTTTGTTACACCCGAACAGGAGAACTGCGCCCCAGGAATCGCCAAGGCACTCGAGCAGAGCGGACAGCCAGTGCCTGAGAGGCTCAACGAGATGAGGAAAGCTCATAGAGAAAAGGTCAAGTCTGGAAAGGCTAAAGACACGTCTGGTTTCGGTGGTAAGGGGCTTGACCGTCTCGACCAGGAGCGAGAGGCGGCTCGACTCCGTGAGCGCAAGAGCCACAAGGCCGAGGGTGAGGAAGAGGAGGTTAATGAGGATAAGAAGGAGGATGAGGACGAAAAGGCCGAGAAGGCTCTCGACGCCATCCGAGCAGCAGCATCTGGCGTGCTGTCTCGGGAGACTGCAAAGGCTGATGATGCAGACGCGAAATCCATGCCTCCTGTCAAGACTAGTGGCGTAGTAAAGGACAAGGCCAAGGACCCATTGGACAAGGTCAGTTCCGCTGTCAGCGCAATCAACAGCCGACTTGGAAAAGCTGGTCAACTTCGTGCTGGTCAGCCCATCGACAACAAGGGTCCCGATGCCGGCGCCTTCCATGCCACACTGGAGATCAACGACTTCCCTCAAAAGGCACGATGGGCTGTCACCAACAGAACCAATGTGGCAAAGATTCTGGAAGCTACCGGTACGTCGATTACGACAAAGGGCAACTTCTACCCAGCAGGCAAGGAAGTTCCCGCTGGAGCAGAGCCCAAGCTGTATATTCTCATTGAAGGTGACACCGAGGTTGTCGTTGGGTCTGCTCTTAGTGAGCTCACGCGCTTGTTGCGTGAGGGAACAATTGCTGCTGTGGATGCCGACAGCAGAGCACCGGCCAGTGGACGATATACCATCACTTAAACGTACTTGGTTTCACTGCCAACAAGTAGATGTACACTATCATCGTCACGCTTTCACGGGACTAAGTCGTTGTCTAGGGCGTTGCCGAGGGGGTGGTAATGAGAAAGGGGATAAAATGTATACAAATATAGGAGTTAATGACGGCGTTAGAAACCCTCTGTGGGGGATTTGGTTGTTACTGTTAACGCGATTGCAAGTCTGAGGATTAAAAAATAATGTGCTGTGTGAACTCTTCTCTATGACTAGTAGTATCTTATGTGAAAGAAACGCTGTGAATCAGAATATTTACTCGACAACGACAAAAACAATATCCGCCAAGTGCCCAAGGGCTGTTATACCAACATTTGCAAGCGAAAGCGAGCCTGATAGCTGAATCCTTGAAACTCAGATTATCGTGCAGCTGCATCAGGTCGCATGAACTCAACTTGCCTCCCAACTTGCTCATCTAAGCAGAAGACCTGTCTCATTTCCAATTAAGAGCCTCTGTCGCCTGATCCGCTTCACGCGCTCGAAGCTGCTCCTTACTAGCATCGTTCAACGTCTCTGAGCGAGTCTGCTTCTTCTGTGCTGCTAATTGCGTCTGTAACTTTCCACCTGGCTTTGAAGATGCCTTGGCGCGTGCCTATACTTTCATGTCAGCTATGATGCATCGATAAGAGTCTCTGGGTGAGTTCTGACCTCTGCCGCTTCGGCGGCTTTCCTTCGCGCATTCTCAGGATCGTCTGAGCCTTGAGCAACGGCTGATCCACCTCCCAATGTCCGCGGTGGGCCGCCGACTGTTTTCGGGACCGGCGCTGTACCGGCGGCCGGAGGAGGTGCAGTGCCCAAGACACGGCCGGGTTGTGAGAAAGCCTCGGGCTCGGTCTTGCCACAAATGTTTCCCATTGCTACTTTGCAATGCGCAGTGGGTTGATATTATGGTCTAGTTGAATTATACAGTGAATGAAGTGCTTTGGTTATTCAAACAGTGGTTTTTTTGTTTCAGTGGTGATGTATTCTGTAATGCGTTGAAGAAGTTGAAGATAGTGAGTGTTGATTGCGCGGCGGCGATACTTAGAGGTTGGAGTCTCGTCGTGCCAAGCTTGGATCCGAGGTCAGGTTGAGAGGGGCTAGAACTTTCCAAAGGGGAAGGCACGGTCGTGAGAGCTATTGTTTAGACACGTTCTAGAATCAGAGTTTTAACAGTAAGTCTTATCAAATCTTCAATATGATAGATTTTACAATGAGATTATGACAATTTGCGTTGTTGAGGTTATTTACGGTTATTCATATCCCTTTTGATAACGACTTGGAGAGAAGTAGCGCTGCGCCTCAGAGGCTCATGTGAGCAACGTCACTCGGCAATGATGTTCATGTTTTATTAACAATTCAGTATGGTACCTCCACAGATCATAAGCAAATTGATTCAGTAGTTCGAAATCTCATCTTAATCATCCAAGCTACAATAATCTCTTTATTCCTTCCTCAGCCGTCAAGAGAAACTCTGATATGTCTATCGAAGGAAAGGCAGGCTAGAGCTCCAACAAGATATAAGTGGGTACAGCTCAGAGTCCGGTAACACGATTGGCTTTCAGTATACACGACTATTTGACTACAATACATGTGCTCTGATATCTTCAACCTTGACCTATTATTCCTGACTTCTACCCCATTGGTATATTCTTCTTGTCATCATTCAGCAACTGGAAGCCTTCTTAATGGCCCACAGTCATGAACTAAGAATGAGACCGAAAGATGAACTTATAAGGAGCTCGCCGTGTTCACTCATTACAAGTTTCTGCGAGGGCTTCCTATGACTTGACATAGTTCTAGAAGATCAGACTAACAGGGAGCCCATATCTTCAGTTATTCAATGCAAGGTTGGTCTGCTCCAAGGAACAGCTGAACGGTAGGAAATATCAAGCGGAGGACCAATGCTACTCGCCCGGAGATGTGGAGTCACATCCAACCGACCGGAGCGGATAGAACCCGGACATCCAGATGGTAAATGAGTGGACTACAATACGAAAATACAGTCAATGAAAACTGGGTATCGGTTCCCAATGCAGCATTATTCGACGACTCGGCTAGGGCCACCTAGGGTAAAACGGCCGAGCTCTGTAATGGCAAAGCTTAGACGGGTGTCCGAGGATATAGGGTAGCTTTTTTATAAAGGACTCTTCAACTCACTCTACTTATAACTGACATGACAGCTAAGATCAAAGTCTTTTAATATTTATGTGGAGTTCTACTGGTTTATTTGCTTCATTCTGTACACTACGGAGAATTCTTCACGGGTGTAAATACACTGGCGCGATATGGGGTTTGTCTTGAGGTAACATGTATGAAACGTTTACACCGAGACGAGCACAATATGACTGAAAGAACACAACTGAGAGAATAAAAGTCCTTCGAGGAACAGCATATGCAGGAACGGAGCTTTGGCCCAAGAGAGGCCACCTGGGGCCGTTGATCCGCTGCAAATCAGAGTAACGGTAAAGACCTTATTGTCTGGGCTCCAGCCGGAAGGGTAGGCCGAGAGACATTACCAACAAGATTGGAGCGGTGAAAGTGGGTTGACTGGAGATGCCTCTGTGATGCAGGAACTGGGACATCATGGTCGCTGACCTCATATAGGTAGGTTGATGTATTCACAGAGGTAGACTCCGGCGTAACCCCCACAGCAGAGACCGGGTGATTCACTGAAGTATGGAAGCCATGTCCTACCATCTTGGCCCAGATCGAACAAGACATACAGGGTCAATACTAGTCGAAGCAAACATCCCACGTTCGCTCATACATGTATTCCCCAATCCATATCAGGGTATTGGTTTCGCCCCGGAAGATTCCAGTCTCAAGGGTTATACTCTTGGCCCTGGATAATCTCTCATACCCTTCGACCACCTGCCTATTCTTTTCTGTATTAGTGCAGAAAATTACTGTAAAAAAAGCACAGAACACAACCGATCCTATCCTGCGGCCTGGTAGACTCTGAACCAGCAACCATAGTAGCCATTCGCGCGTTCAATCCATGAACTCTCATTGGCTGCGCATGCTAATCTCTAGGGAGCTGGACCCGCTAGAACGCACCGTGACCCACTGAAGTTTACAAAGTGCCTTAGTGTTGTACTGTACCCTTGGACTGCCCCTCCACCTTCCATGCCCAGTTCTTGAGCCGCTTGGCCATCCGGGTTCTCATTCTCATCGACTCTCTAAGCGTGGGCCGGCCATTCGCACGCAACATCCACTGGGGACTTTGCTATGACCATCCATTTATTCCAATGACTCTCGTTAACATCTCGACTGTAGCCTCTGTTCAGAAGCCTTTTTTGTGCGTCAAGTAACAAACAACAAAAGCAATCGTCTTCACTAGAACGATCGATTGCTGTTGTCACTTCTAGCACTGCGTCCATGAAACCATGGACCACTCGCACTCGACAGCCTTTGCTCCCCATTACCACCAGCCAACTTCTTTCGATGCCGAAAAAGTCGACTATGGCTTTGACTCTATGCTCGGTCATGATACGTGCTTGACGCATGGACTCGATTCTCTTGGGACTTGTAACAATACCGAGAATGCTTGTCTCGACCAGCGTTGTTTTGACCACTATGGCAAAACTTCTGCCGCAAAGAACGTCCTCGAGATTGGCCTCGATCTGAAATCCGGCGCCGATAAAGCCCCTCATAGAAATGACCAGGCAAACAATGTCCGTACCTCGAGAGCAAAGACCCGTTCGCAATCAAACCTCTCCAGCTCGCCTGCAAAGATGATGTCTGCTGCCGCAATTAGAGCTTCGGCGCATAGACAAAAGCGGAGGAGACAGTCCGAGCAGCTCCAACAGCATCAACAACAACACCAGCAACACCAGCTGGACTATCACCAGTCATCAGCCGCTCATCATATGCACTCCCCCCATTTCCTTCATGGCCAAAACATGCAGCATATCGAACCCACCGCGGTCCTTCAAACTGTCAACGAGAACTTGCACCACAACTTCCACATGCCTATGCTGAATGTCCACCACCCATCATTTGGCGATGTGCAACAGCACAATGGCATGTTCTCGCCTTCAAGTACCTATGGCCACTGGCCACACGCTGTTGCTCCTTCCTGGGCCACCATGATGAATCAAGCCACCATGGCTAATTGTATGCCAATGCCATGGCCAACGCACACCGGCTGTAACGACGCTGCTTCCGCCGACTGTACATCTGCATGCGGTGACAACAAATGCTGGAGTGATTGCGGAGACGGAGATGATGCAGACTGTTGCTTTGATACCTCTTGCGCCGAGCTTGACTTTTCCCACAACGCATGCTGTTTTGAACCAACATGTGCCGATCTTGAGCCATGTTTAGATGCTTCATGTCAGGAGGCCGCAATCCCTTGCAATGATCAGCATTGCGTCGGGACCACCGTTTCTACCACTCCGGCCTCTATTTCTGTCACAACTCCCTCAGCCGAACCAGAGCCTATGGTCGGTGCTATCCTCAGCCCAACCGAGCCAAGTCGAGGCGTTACTTTTGACATCGACTCGGCCATCAGGCAAAACTTTGGTTTTGGCCATAGCTTTACTGATGATCTGAACCAGCATGATGGAAACCTTAACAGTGGTCACAATGGCTCGCTAGTATTGGATCAGAATGCTGTTTTTTCCCTGTCCTCTCACTCCCCCACGCCCAAGACCGAGCTGGCCGAGAACCAGTCCATCAATGAAGAGACTGATTTTACTTGCAAATGGCTTTGTGAAGATGGCGTCCTTTGTTCCAAAACGTTTGGAGGCAACAAGGAACTTCAGGATCACTGCAAGAATGAGCATGTGAAAAACTTGAAGAAGGGCGAAAATGGCTTCTGCTGTACATGGTATGGTTGTATAAGACCTGGACCATTCTCGCAGAAGAGCAAGCTAGAGCGACATATGCAGACCCATACCGGATGTAAGTTCCAGCCCTTGACCCAGGATCCTGAAGCATGTACTGACAGCGTTTACGATAGACAAGCCAGTCAAGTGCAATATCTGTGGCATCATGCTTTCCGCAAAACAATCGCTTGACCAACACATGCGCACTCATTCGGGCGAGAAGCCATGGAAGTGCGAGCATGAGGGGTGTGGAGCGCGTTTCAAGCAACAAAGTGCTCTCAGTAAGTCTCATGGTCACCCAGTAAACATAGCATGCTAACCCGTTTTCCAGCCATGCATATGCGTACACACACTGGAGAGAAGCCCTTGATGTGTGAGATTTGTGGAAAGCGCTTTGGTGAATCATCCAATCTCTCTAAGCATCGCCGTACGCATAACGTCCGTGGTAGCCACGTATGTGACCACTGCGGCAAGGACTTCCATCGCTTAGACCAACTTCGCCGGCATTTGCAAACACATCTTTCAGATGGCGAGCGTAAGAGCAGCAAAAGCTCCTGACATGGTCACGCGGGGATGACTGGAGATGGGTGATCGAAAGTTTCAAGTCGTAAATATTTTTGGCGTTTCGAAATCAGCATTGACGGCGTTGGAGGTAATCCCTGGGTTTGGTTTTCATAATTCTCTACTGAGACCCGGCGTTCTTGGAACAAGCTGTCCCAGATGGGCAGCATGAAATGGATGAGATGAGCGCAAGATCCAGATAAAGGTAGATAGATACCCGATGCCATTATGACATAAGGAAGTAATGGACACAACGTGGTCCTCTTCGGACCACAATATAGTCACTAGGCACAAACGTGCCTCAACCGGTTGATGTGACTTGAAAGTTGATGCTGTGTGACGGTACTGGCGGTATTCCGTGGATGGAAGTCCTTCTGCCGTGCTCGGGAGTTGCATTGGCTCCAGCATGCTGGTTCATGTCGCTTAAGAGCTTTGCCGTTGGATATGAACGCTGTGGGCGAATGAGCTCTACCGTATAAGAAGCAGGTGGGACCTATGTAGGCCGTTGAGCTGTCGATTTCTCATCTCATTGAGACACCCGAACAATGATCAGTTTCAACTATCGGTTCACTCGAAGATGAAGCTTCCGTTGAAAATCGGATAGAAATCTGTTGCCGCTGCGGGGTGCTTTTTTAAATGCCGATTTGGTGACAAATCGGACAAGATTCATCTTGAATCAATCGAGATAGGGCTTTGTAAGTCAAGAATACAGTTTGCGTAACAAAGTCCTAAACGCGGGCTGAGCAGGTGAAAGGTGAAGAAACTGGTCAGGAATGGCTCGAATGAGGTTTTCTTGACGTCGCCTTTGCCTGTTAACGGAAGGATGTCGTTGGGGTCTGGTGGGGTGACGCGGGTTGGAGTGATCCGAGGCGCCTTTCAAGGGACCAACCGAATATGGCCGAGCCGTAGGGGAGAATTTTGGTATACAAATTGGTAGTCACTGACATGTTTTTCTCGTTCAATTGAACAAAGGATAGATGGATAATTCGAAAAAGGGGGGCATGGGGGTTACAATTTTTCCCATTATCTCTCAAGGTTCTGTTTGATACTCAAAAGTTTATGCCTTGTTGATTGATAGTTCACGAGGCAGCAATATTGGTTGGCAATTGTTAATCGAAAAGTGCAGCCGTGAATGCTGCACAACTTGACAATATGTCGGAATAGACCCTGAACATCAATATCACTGCTCTCACGTATCTTAGGAGTTGTTCATCATGACCTCATTTTTGTTTTTTAAGACTGCCTCCGGGCAGCCTCTCGTGGACATAACCCGTCCCAGATCGAGGCCCAAACCGGGAAATAAGTACAAGTCAGACCGAGATTCCCTGAGCCATGCGATGCAGATTTCGAAGTCTTTTGTTCAAAGAAAAAGCACGCCGCGCCCTCCATACCCCGTTTCCTTTCTACCCAGTGTCCGTCACACGCCAAGAACTACAAGCATTTTTAACTTAAGCCTGTGAGGGTTGTTAGCCAATTGATCTTGAGACGTGATATATCGCCATGGAAGAGCTTCATGACCCTCCACGGCTCGTGGTTATCGTACCTTGATGGCGAACTTGCGGAGAGGGAAGTGGACAGTGCGCTTCTTGGTCTTCTCGAGAACGCGGGACTTCTCATCGGGTGATAGGCGGCGGCGGATGGCACGGGTCTGCTTGGGTCGGAGGTCGAGAGGGGCGTACTTCTTGTTCTTGTAGAAGAGACGGAGCTGAGCCCTTTGCTTGGCGTTGATGACGGTCAGGACACGAGCGATCGACTTGCGGATGTCGTGGCTATTCGAATTTGCGTTAGTGGGGCATGACTTTTTTGACAATCTCGTGCAGCAGCAGCACAGCTGCAAAACCGCAGAGACGAGGGAGAAATGCTCACATTCTGTTCAGCTTGGAGCCGGAAGAAGCGACCTTCTGGATGCGGAGCTGACCGAGCTCGGTCTTGAGCTCAGCGAGCTGCTTTGTCAAATCATCCTTGTTCTTGCCCCAGAGCGCGCCAGCCTTAACCTTTCCGGACGACTATTCAACCTGTCAGCGACTTGTCCATTCCGTACTGTTGTCTTGCGTGAAGTGTGCTATCGAAATCAAGATCGAGTCTCTCGAGTTGAGTTGTGGGATGACGATCGTGGATTGTGTATGATATGTGCGTCTGGGTCGATGGAATGCTCGAAGATTCTCTGCTGGCCGCAAGAGACGTCGACAATACGCAGTCGACATCTGTCGTAACATCAAGGGCGTGGAATGCTCGTACTCACCATCTTGAATAGCTTCGAAGTGGTGTACGAAGTGTGTCGACGAGTGGTTTGCAAAAATTATCAGCCTCGACCTGTCACCGTCCGTGTCGCGATAGATCGATTTAGAGAAGTTGGCGAGTAGGTGCGGAAGGTTAGGGCTTGCAAGGAAATAGGCGGTGGGGTTTGAGAAGGGATTAGAATTTTTGATTGGCAAGTGGGCTTGCTAGATTTTTCGTTTCTTTTTTCGGAATAGCTCGCTTCTGGAAGCTCACGTGGTTAAACAGGTGACTGAGACTTGACGCTACTGCAGGCGGTGTATAATTCTGCCATTATTCGGACCAGGTGTCGGGCAGTTGGTCTGTCGTCAGGGAGTTGATCATGAGTTGAGATCGGCCGAAGCTTGTGCAAATACATCATCACGCAATTACCAGAAACACATTCATAACAAACAAAATGTCTTCCTCAGGAGCTCCTGACTGGAAGTCCCTGCGACAACAAGCCTTGCAGCTGGAAAAACAGGTATATCGAATGGTCTTATGCGCCGGAATATTAGCTGACGTCGCCATCGCTTAGACGGATAACTTGTTCCATACATATTCACAGTTCTCGACAGCTCCTAATATCCCACCAAAGCCTACGGCAGAAGAGCGCGATACAGAAAAGAAGCTGGAAGGATTGTTGGAAAAGGTGCGCGCTGATGGTTTGCGCTTGTAATCTCTTATACAGCTTGCTAACTCCGCCACAGCGTGAGAATGTCATCGCCCAACTCAACCGACTTCTCGATTCCGACGCCGCTCTCTCCGCTTCTGCCATGAAACAAAACAATCTCTCACTCCTCCAAAAGAAATTCGCCAACCACAAGAAAGATCTGATACGTCTGCGCTCAACTACACAAGAAGCTCGCAATCGCGCGAATCTTCTGACCAATGTCCGCTCTGATATCGACCAATACCGCCAGAACAACCCCGAAGCTGCCGAGGCTGACTACATGCTGGAGGAGCGGAATCGCATTGACAACAGCAACGGCATGATCGACAACGTACTTGGCCAAGCGAACGCTGTTCAAGACAGCTTCATCTCGCAGCGCGAAACATTGGCGAGCATCAACAGGAGGATTACGCACGCAGCGAGTCAAGTACCAGGAATCAACTTGCTTATCGGAAAGATATCGGCAAAAAAGAGAAGGGACGGTATTGTCATGGGCAGCTTTGTTGCATTCTGTTTCATTGTGTTTTTCCTCTTTTCGTAAAAACTGAGCAGGACTTGGTTACTTTATATAATGTACAGGTGTTCAGGGGTATCAGCGTATTCGGTATTGTACAATAGGCCATGGTAGGGTCATGATGTCTAAGATGCTAAAGTTACAATCGTCTCTCCTCTACTGGAGGACGTCTAATTATAAGAGTTTTGGCACCTCGAGATGCTGTTTACCTGGGTGTTGCTCCTTGGCTGTTGCGGGCAACACAGCTTCGTGTCTAATCTCGTCTACTATACGTGCGAGACCTTTGGCCATACCCTCTGTCTCAACGGGGTGGGCTGTTCCACTGCCTGCCCATCGGACACGACAGTACTGGTCGACAAGGAAGACGTATCCAACCTTGCTGTTGAGTAGACCGATGGATTCACGAATATCGTCGGTGACACCTCGTCGTACTAGGAAGTACTTGTCCCAGTCCTTCTCGGGGAACTGCTTTCGCAGCGATCCCATAAAGAATCGGATCAGCCAAGCCTTGCCAGCGTTATCCTCGTAGTTGATGTTGACAAGCTGTGTGGTTTCGGTGTTCTGTTCAAGCACTTGGTGGAGTGCTGGGTTTTCCTCCTTGGAGGTGAAGCTTCCGACTTGCTGCTCAGCCCATCGACTGCTGAAGAAATTGATGACGGAAGCCTTGCCGGTGAGAAGTGGTGTAGTGTCGCGCGGGTTTCTATCCGTCTTGAGAAGGGTTTCGCCGTAGAAGTTGGGGAAGAACAACGAGAGCTCAGCCTTGAAGAGGCGTGGAGGTGCGATGAAGGATTTACCCTCATGGTATTGAAGGTTACCCCAATCTCGGAAGTATGGCCGTGATATCTTTGCCGTTCTATAAACATGCACTATTAGTCTATGCGACACCTTATATGTCTACTAAAGTCTATCTTACAGCTCCTTTCGTCGTTGCAAGTGTTTGTCGTAGTTGACAAAGTCCTCGCGACGCTGTTGCATTGAGCGACTATCAATGCCTGTATTCTCTCCAGCCTTTGGTGGTAAAGGCATACCAATTGGTCGAGGGAGAGGTTTGGGCACGAAGTGGCCCTGTTGTCGCTTTCCATAACTTCGAGGAGCTTCAATTGGCTTGGCAACATTTGCTTGGGGATCTAATGATGCCCCAGCTCCGGGCTTTTCAGTCCTTGCCGGCCGAAGAGCGGAGGTGGTGAAGGATCGTCGGGCTTCGCAGAAGAGACATGTTAAGGGTCGACGAGCGAGGCCGGAGAGGGATAGGTCGAGACGTCGTGACGCCATCATGATTTATTGGCGGGGGAGGAAAGCAGGGTTATTGGGAGAGAGACTTGAGGCTCTTCTCTGTTCTCTAAGATCAGACGTTGGAAAATTATTGCCCGACAAACCCCAAAAAGTCCAAAGTCCCCACGTTCAGAAACGGGAGCAGTGGAGCACAGGGCAATTGCCTGTATCGGCAATGTGGGGGTGCCGGTGTTTTTTGACAGAGAGACAGAGCCGAAGGGTCGCGGTCAGATCGGGCTTAGTACCCGCCAGTGCCGTCATTCCCCCGGATTGGCGGTTATCCACGGACGGGGCCGATGGAAGCCAGGCTTTCGGCTTAAACGATGCCATGGTATTAACCATCTCCTCTTTCTTATGAGGATGACTTGGTGCTGATATTTGTGATTTCCTTCTGCTTGTTACTCTCACTCCTGCAGACCCAATTGATAGTGCATTACAATGTTTCTCCAGCGAGGATCCCGTGTGCTACAGAAGCAATGGCATGTTGCCAGAACCATGGGCAACATGGCAATGCGCCCTCAGTCTTCAATCAAGGTCTCTTCTCCCAGATGGTTCAGCGAGTCTAGAAGATTAATGGCTATCAAGCCAGTTGTCCTGGCCGATATTGGTGAAGGTATGTCTTAGCACTTACACCATCCCAGGATCTCACTAACACGAGCAGGTATCGTCGAATGCGAAGTCATTCAATGGTTCGTGGAACCCGGTGCTCGCGTCGAAGAGTTCTCCCCACTCTGCGAAGTCCAAAGCGATAAAGCCTCTGTGGAAATTACAAGTCGCTTCTCCGGCGTGGTCAAGAAACTGCATTATGAAGCAGGCGAGATGGCCAAAGTCGGCAAGCCCTTTGTTGACATCGATATCGAGGGCGAGGCCAAGGCTGAAGACGTCGCAGCGATAGCTGATCAACAAGCTGATAAGAAGGATGTACCTCCACCACCACCTTCAGAGTCCAAGCCCGAACAAACACAACCACAAACCTCACCAGAAGCCCCAGTCGAAACACGGGTTAAGGAGAAGGGCAAATGCGCCAGCATCGCTACTCCGGCGGTGCGACATCTCTCTAAGGAACTCAAAGTCGACATCTCCGAAGTTGAAGGAACCGGAAGAGATGGAAGAGTTCTCAAAGAAGACATTTACAGATTTATCAAGGAGAAAGATGCAAAGGGTAGCGCTCAGCAAATAACGCCAACTCCTACACCTTCTCAGCCCCAAGATACCTCGGTACAATCGGAAACGGTTATGCCTCTATCCAACACACAACTACAAATGTTCAAGACCATGACACGGTCATTGACCATTCCACATTTCCTCTATGCAGACGAGATCGACTTTTCAAGTCTTGTGGAACTGCGCCAACGCCTGAACCGTGTTATTGCCAAGGGCCCTACGGTCGAGGGACAGCCAAGCAAGCTATCATACCTACCTTTTATCATCAAGGCCGTTTCACTGGCATTGAATCAATACCCGATGCTCAACGCCCGAGTAGATGTTGGCCCCAAGACCAGCAAGCCATGCCTTGTCCACCGATCGCAACACAACATCGGTATCGCCATGGACACAGCAGGCGGTCTCGTGGTACCCGTGATCAAGAACGTCGCATCCCTCAACATCCTCTCCATCGCAGCAGAACTATCAAGACTCCAAGCATTGGCAAGCCAGGGCAAACTCAAGCCAGCTGACTTCCAAGGCGGCACCATCACAGTATCAAATATCGGAAACGTCGGTGGTACATATGTCAGTCCTGTCATTGTGGAGCGCGAAGTAGCCATTCTAGGTATCGGCCGGATGCGAACGGTACCTGCGTTTGACGAGAACGATAACGTGGTCAAGAAGCAGGTTACAAACTTTAGCTGGAGCGCTGATCATCGTGTTATTGATGGTGCTACTATGGCACGAGCTGCTGAGGTTGTGAGACAGATAGTGGAGGAGCCGGATCTTATGGTAATGCATCTTAAATAGTTGGAGGCGTTAAGTATATAATTTAGAGTTAAAAATACAGTTTATGATCAATAACGAGTGTACAAAGAGTGAATGTGTTGCTGTGCCGTCATGTTGCAGGGCTTCAGTGCAGTTGATATGGTGGCCTCACCTTTTTCGATTAAAGCCGAGGTGTAGAACATGAATAAACCCAGTCCTTAAGAGCAGTTACTCTCCAACTAGGTTGTTGCTGAAAGACATAGAGGCATGTTCCAACGCATATAATTAAACCTCGTGATGCATATAATATCACAAGTGCCGACACGGCGTTACCATGCATGATGGCAACACACCAACTCAAAGCTTCCAATTAAGATGCCTGTCTATAAAAGAACATTGCAGTTGTACATGGTTACCATTCGCACGCTTGTTGAACTTGAGTCATTTTTCTCGGTGAGAGAGCTGAACCGTAGTCAGGCTGGCTGAGTTGTCATGAAGCATATGCATGAGCTGGATTGGGCTTGTCAAATACACAACCCTGTCATATGCGACCAATATGGATAGTTCATGTGAAGTATAGGCAGCTAGTAGATCATTTAATAAATCACATATACAAGATAAGTGCCAAAAAAAAAAAAAAAA